GATGGAAGGATCCTGTTCATATGGACCTGTCGTCAGACAGAACACTAAATAATAATAATAATAATTCCTTGTAGGGAATTTTTGTTTAAGGCTTTTGTGGGCACAGTGCGAGGTTGGCAGTACTGTATAAGGTTTTGACTGTAATTTTTTTGGTTTGTGTCCGTGTTTGCCTTTCTGAAACCCAACTCAAAATGATTATGTAACAAAACTGCTTATCTCCAATAGTGATTAATCTTCGACCATAAAAATTTTTCTTTCGTAGTCATTTGCAGTCATGTATTATGGTGGTTGGTAGACATTTAGTTTCCCATTAAGTGACTTGAAATGTGTTGTGTATTCTGGTGAAAAGGTGCAGACTAATGTGCGTTGCGTATTTAGTTCACACAGAATGGACTTTGAAAAATGATGCTTTGTGATACTGTGGTTTATATGTAAGACTTGAGGTTCTCACAGCGGTGAGTATGAAGATTTCTGTCTTCTGGGTTATTGCGCTGTGTAGTCTGGTCGATGTTAACCAACGTTTCAGAGGTCATACTGCCTCCGTCATCGGTTAACATCAACCAGACTACACAGCGCATCAACCCAGAAGACAGAAATCTTCGTACTCTGATGACGGAGGCAGTATGACCTCTGAAACGTTGGTTAACATCGACCAGACTACACAGCGCAATAACCCAGAAGACAGAAATCTGTGGTTTATATGTTTGTTTAAATATTTGTTTCTTTGTTGCATTTTTAATATTTGTTGGTGAAAGCGGTAACAATTAAATGTGCTGCAAAAGGTAGCTGACAAGAAAACTTGGAGCAGGTTCATCTGACAAATTTCTTTACTGTGCCATAAAGAAGTACGGCAATCTTCGCTGTGAGGCTACGAGATGTCATAAATGTAAAATAGTGGATGTACGTGTGGACCTACAGCATACTTGTTCTTTCACATAAGAATGCTCTTTCATATTATATAAGGATGTACAGATTTTTAGTCATTGCTCGTGGGTATGTTAAAAATGTTAAGACATGCAGACGTGACGTACAGTTCTGGCATACTTGGTAGAATTTTGACCATTGCGAATAGCGCCAGTGACAGAATTGTCTGGGGTCGATGGTATTTGACCCCCACAACTGATGATGGCAGTTCTCACAGTCTCATTTTTTGCTCAGATCAAAATAGAGAGTTTTATGAGATTGATGTAGGAGGTAAAACTTTCGCGGCGACTGAATTTTATGGAGGATTCTCAGGCTACAAGCCGTGTCAGGTGGCTGAACGGTGAACAAACCATATTTATCAATTTTTCTTTACAAATTTAATGGTATTATAAGAGCTGTACAGCAATGACACTAGAATAATCTAGTGAAAATGAGAGTATGTAATTATTTTTATGTACTACATCAAAGTATTAACACTGCAGTTTGATAATTCAAGGAGTCGATTGAAAATAAGATTTAAGTAGCTTGTCACATTTTTGTAAAATTCTCCAAAACCAAATTTGAATCAAGATGGGTTTGCATTCTTGAGTTGTTTCATTTGCACAGGTGGAAAGATGAAATTATTTTAATAGATGCTCTGTAGGGTTGCATGCTCCCATCATAAGTCACATTTTTAATTCATTTTGTTCATTATTAAACTATAAAAACCTTGAGCATGAAAAATTGTCTCGCTTCTAAATTTTTTGGCTGGCTCCTAGTCCAAAGAAAAATGTGTCATACCCTGCATAATTACCCTTTGGGTTTCACATAATTTCCTGACCATCTGAAGAAAGCCGGCTTGTAAAGAGGAATTTTGTTCGGCGGAGTTTGTGTGTGGAAATGTGTTCCCATATTGTGTATCATTGTTCATCACGCACATTCATTCCTTAGCAGGTTACATTCAGAAAGACCTTACATCAGCTGTATCTGATGGTATTTATTGGTGTGAAAGAACCACCCATACCTACTGAGATAGAGAGAAGTCTAAATAATTGTATTTTTATTTAGGTTTATTAAAGTTGGTGACAAAGTGTCGCAGTTTGACAACATATGTGAAGTGCAAAGCGACAAGGCCTCTGTAACAATTACAAGTCGATACGATGGAATCATCAGGAAAGTTTATTATGATATAGATGATATTGCCTCTGTCGGTAAACCTCTAGTGGATGTTGAAGTGGAAGATGTATCAGGTATGTTAACGCTGGAAACAGATTTAACTGTCTGAGTCCGTGTAACCAGTATTATTTGTGTTAATTCTTCTTTTGATATGTCCTACAAATGTACTAATTTCTTTTTAACGCTCGAGGACACAGACATTTGTTCGCGGCTTTAAATTTAACTTTAAAGTTTCAGACATTCAGGATGCCCACATTCGGCATCAGTAAGTTAACAGTGATGCGTGGCAGACAGATTTCCACACCTGTAGGTGTGTTTCTTCTTAAATAGCTTGTAGTGTCAGCATGTGTAAGAAGGCACTTTTTAACAGGTGAGGAAGAAACAAGTTTAGAAAGCAGAGGGAAATCAGCACGAGTCACAGATGAAAATGAAGATCATTTCTTGGCGGACAAGGCTCTTGCGACACCAGCTGTAAGGAGAATAGCCCTCGAAAATAACGTAAGATTTCAGTGTTTACGTGCGAAATGAAATGGCTCATGTCAGGAAATAGCCACGGTGGTCTAGCGGTTAGAACGCTGGCCTTGTAATCCTGGGGTCTCGGGTTCGATTCCCGGCGGTGCCCGAATTTATAACTTGTGTTGGGCAAGGCCGTGGTCTAGGCAACACGGAGTTTTCCTCCGGGGGCATCCCAACAATTACTCCATTCACACACAGAAGAAGGCAATGGCAAACCACTTCTGGATCATCTGCCAAGAACGTATATGAACAGGTCCCAGTCCGAGAAAAGGATGGAAGGATCCTGTTCATATGGACCTGTCGTCAGACAGAACACTAAATAAATAATAATAACGTCAGGAAAATCTTGCAGCACTTGGTGATGAATCGTGCAGTTCTTGCCAAGAGCCAGGAACTATCATTTTTATTCTGCTTTATCAGTCATTTTTATTATCTGCATTATAGGTGACTCTGAAACCGCCATTCTGTACGCACACTTAATATTCCAAGTATCAGTTCTCACATCATCTTCCTTTTTTCCCATGTTAAAATATTAACTATTGATTAATAGATTAAGCTGAGTTCCATAAATGGATCCGGAAAAGGTGGTAGGATTCTGAAGGAAGATGTTTTGGAGTACCTGCAGAACATGTCTCCTGTTTCTGATGCTGGATCCGCGCTGTGTGACAAGAGACCTGCTTCTGGTAGAGCACATGATTATACAGAACCTATTCAAGGCTTTAAAAAGGCAATGGCGAAGTCAATGACGGATTCTTGGGTAAGAATACTTGTAACAATGCGTGTGAATTGTAGTATTTAGTAAAATAATTTTTTTTAAAATACAGGCTGAGCACAAAAGAACTTTATACTTTCAGAGTGATACAGAAAACAAATTTGGCATACTTAGAACTCTGTGCCCACACCATCTGATACAGAAACTCTCAAAAGTTTTGTTTCAAATGACTGAGGGTGGTTATTGTTGTTCACCTGCACTAGATGCCACTAGTTTTCATAATGGCTATCCCACAACAGAGGAGTCAGTGTGTTTTGCAGTTTGTAAAGAAAGAGTCTGTAACAGCTATGCAGCTTGCATTTCGCATACAGTTTCATGTGGAATGACCCAGCCAATTGTCTATTTATGCCAGAGTTGAGGCAGTGAATCACGACTGCCGTAGCTTCCATCACTAGGGACAGTTTACACGAAGTTTGGGACGAGTTGGATTCTCATCTCGACATTACTGTGTGAATCTCTGTGTTGTGTGTACAAAACTTTGAGAGTTTTTCTATTGACTGGTGTAGGTTCTAAGTACCATCATTTTGAAAGCGTAAAGTTCTCTTTTGCTCACTTTGTATTCAATGTTGAAGGATGTGGTGGTGTTTTTAGTGGCAGTGTATATGTTCGTGTAAGTACATAAAGCTCTTTGCAGAAGTCTACATTGAAAACTTTTGTACATGAAATTGTGTGCATGCGCGTGTAAATCTTTTACTGTGAGAAACATGAAGATTCCTGTCTCCTGGGTTGTTGTGCTGTGTAGTCTGGTTGATGTTAACCAACGTTTCAGAGGTCATACTGCCTCCATCATCAGAGTGTGAAGATTTCTGTCTTCTGGGTTGTTGCACTGTGTAGTCTGGTTGATGTTAACCAACGTTTCAGAGGTCATACTGCCTCCATCATCAGGGCAATGACGGGACAGTATGGCCTCTGAAACGTTGGCTAACATTGACCAGACTACACAGCGCAACAACCCAGGAGGCAGGAATCTTCATACCCATCGCTGTGAAAACCTCAAATCTTACATGTGAGAAACATGTTTAATATTTCAGTCTAAGTGGCAGCCACTTTGAATGATCTGATCAGTTTTTACCTCTTTAGTATAGACTTATATTGTTTATATCCATTTTTTGTTGTATCACAAATATGATTATGGTTTTGCACGTCTTTATATCTGTTTTGTGGGAAAGTGAATGTACACCTTTTCATGGTCACAATCCCAAGTGCTGTAATTATTATTATTACACTGGCTGAAGTTAAAAGCACTATTTATTCAAATGTGCATTATCTTACAATTCACTGGCCATGTGAACAAAACGAAAAGTGTAGTGCATTACGCGTATTCCAACAGGCGAAGTTGTAAGTTTTTAGTTAGTTGTATTTTATAGATGGCATATTAACTTTGTGCTGGAATGGCAGTAAATTCGTCATTTTACTCTACTCAGATTTGAATATGAAAAAAAAAAGACAATGTTTGAGGATTACTGTTATTCTTCTGGGTTGTGATGCCATGTGGATTCATAAATTGATACCGATTTGTTCTCTTGTCTCCCGGCTCAGCCCATCCTTCTGACCCTGTATGTACTCCCCCCCCCCCCCATCTTTTTCACTTCAACCCTGAGATTATATTCATTATGTTTCTCCGAAATATTGTTGTTTACCTGTCACAGCCCAGAAAAGGAATATCGTCTTGGTAGGGTCTGAGATTCTTATGGCACAAGTATGAAGACGGTTTTCCTTTCGGTTGTAGCGATGTGTTGTCTGGTGGAATTTTATTGACATTTGAGAGGAAATGTCGGCAAACTTGTACCAGACTACGTGATGCTACAACCCAGAATACAGCCATCCTCATTATCATCTTCACTGCTGTATGAACCTCAAATGCACAAGATTTGAAGATTTAAAACTCATAATTTGTCTAATACCTTAGGTTACAAATACAGTTAAACCCCTCAAGTTGGACACTTTTAATTGGAACTGACGAATACCCTGTAATTTCACATGTCCACAATACCCTATATCTTGGTCACCCCTTTTGTTGTAAGTTGGACATCCCTTTTGTTGTAAGTTGGACACCCCTTTTGTTGTAAGTTGGACAGGTTCGTGCACTTAACTTCGATGCTTTTCAGGGAAACTTTTTCAGTTACATATTTTGTTATTTTGAATTTCTGACTGATGAATGCCTCCTCTCTGGAGTATTATCTTATGGACATTGAACCCATCATTGGAATGCATTGCAAGTGTTTGACAATTCTTTTGCTGAACTCTTAACTGGACTACAGTTTTGCAGAAGAGACAGTTTTAACTCCTTCAGTACTGCGCTTGTATTTGAGTTCAGACTGTGTTAATAGAAATGGAATTTTTGTTTTTGCGATGGGAAAGCGAAAATTGGTTGAATTAACTTTAGAAAATTTTATTGAGGCTGGGGTGTAATGCGCAATGCATGGGAGTGGGCTTCAAAATATTATTATTAATGCTATTGTCATTAATTCTTAATTCAAGTAAGCCTA